CCAAGCTGCGTCACAAATGGTAATGTGAATGATTAAAGAATGTGAAAGGCCAGATATTGTTATACTAACTTCACACCATAAAGAGCACATCAGCTCAGCTGAATTTCCCCCGTAACTTAAGCAGTACACATGCACTTAAATTACCCTGTTTTTAGCATGTCTAACACATGCGTGCTTCAGTTCCTGATTCCTACATATGTCACATTCCATGGTTTGTTCTGCTCTGATTAAAGAAAGCTGGAAAAAAACAAAAACCCATACATGAATCGAATTTTCAAAAAAAAAAAACAAAAACACTCCAACAGCCAACATGACTAATGTTTTACCCTTCAGCACAATCACAATTCATGGCACTTTACTCCACTGACATGTTTACCCTTAAGCAATTGTATTAGTCCTTTTGTGTTATAAAAAAAAAACAAAAAACAAAACACCCTGACGTATGTGTAAGCTCAGGCTTAATGTGGAAAGGAACTTCTGTTGCGTCTTTGGTTCATAGTGAACTTTGTCTTAATCTGCCCTACAGATAGCAAACTATGAGATGAATATGCTCTTGTATCAGTACAAAAGACTGAATTGAACCCCAGTTAAGAGTACAGAGTATTACAAGAGAAGTGTCATCTTTAATTTAACAATTCACAGAATATCCTACAATTTTTCTAGAAAGAAGCAGGACATACCTTTTATTAATGGTCTTCTCCTCCTTTTGGTATGGCTTGACAAACCACTTGCCAATACGAACAAAGCCCCGGTTCATGAGGCAGCGCTCCAGCAGGTTGTGAATGGCTTTGAACAGGAGCGTTCGACACTCATAGGATAGGCCACTTTCCCACTCACCATCCTCCTCACCTGAAACAAGGCAGATGCAAACATGATGACTTTAACAATCAAAGCTAACCAGTGTTAAATGTACTTGGTTTTGTCATACACCCGTAGCCTTAATTTGGCTATGCAAAAAACAAACAAACAAAAAACCCAAAAACACCACAGTTACAGCTGCTCTACCGCATATAAATACAGGAAAACATTTAATATTAATAAAAGTCTTAGTTGCTGTTATGTAATGACGTGATCCAAAATAAAAGGCTTCAACCCAGTTACTGACTTATGTAACAGAAAATAAACTATTTTGTTAAATTACAGAGAAATGATTATCTAGGTGAAGCTTACTCATGCCATTCCTTTCTGATCATCAAGAGCTATACTCCCTGCATAGTGGAAAATTCTTCCAACTATCTTTGGAGCTCAAGAGAGATTTGAAAAATTGTTGCCAACTCTGTTTCTTTAATGAGCAATTTCTACAAGTAACACTTCATCACACCTGAGACAAAATACCTGTGTGTTAGCCCCTAAGGGTACTTCTTCTCTAAGAATATGAATATCAACAAAGCAGGATTGAATCTCCAGAAATCTAGAAGTGTGTCAGGTGACTGTGATGCACAACAACTTGTTCTAATCCTACCATGCAAGTCTGCGTCTCTATGGCTGAGGGCCAATCAATTTCACAAGTCTTTAAAGACATTCAAAGACCAGTTAGCCACAAATTCAAGGGTCTTAGAAATTATTTTTAATCAGACTTTGCATCATCAAAAATGTATAAGAAATTTTTTTAATGCAGTAAGCATTTCAGGACAGCATCTCTAGAGAGGTTTGTTATTAATATCAACAATTACACACTTCAATTTCAAATTGTTCAGATGGCACAAACTGAACTAACTGATGCAAAAGCACAAGAGTCCACATATAATTTGGAGTAAATCACCAAATAACATTGGAATTTAATTCAGTGAAATGAAATAAACATTTTCATCTAATAAACTCTGATGTTGTCAGAATCACAAATCTTGCAGAATTCGTGGAGAGGTTAAATGAACTTACTTAAGAGCTCATTGTGGATAAGCTCTGCAAAACTGGGGTCATCACCCCACCAGAAGAGCCAGAGCTCTCTGCGACCCGGGGTTTGGTGCCTCCTCCAAACACTCAACACATCTGCCGCCAAGCATCGGCTGAAACTGCACAAGATCGGGTCCTCCTCAGTCACAGGGAAAAGGATTGGCGAGGAGGTGGGTCCTTGCCACACAAAACGCCGCCATTTTATTCCAGTCAAATCAGCCTTAAAGAGAAGAATAGTGATGTGAGAATAAACACAGAGAAAAACTGAAGAGCATAAAGCTAATTTCCAGCTGTTTACTGCACAACTCTTCATGCATCTTGACCGAACACACTGCAGTAACAAGCCAGCCACTGCTTTCGCTGCTAAAATTACTTTCAATTCAATTAATTTTATTTTATTTATATAGTGCAAAATTACAACAGCAGTTGCCTTAGGTGCTTTATATTGTAAGGTATAGATCCTACAATTATATTGAGAAAACAGAAAGAGGAAACTTTGAATAAGCAAAGCTGAAAATTGAGGTTTGTTTACACTGTTGAAAGTTTTCCTTTACTCTTTACACTTGCCAAGATGATCACGCCTGAAGGCATAACACACAACTATAAGGAAATAATTTACAACCAACAAGTTAACAACCAATGACAGACCTGTCAGTTTAAAACCAGACTGATCTGTCTCAAAATGGTTGGTGACAGCCACAATTAATTTGCATGCAGTGCAGTTTAAATCAAGGGAAAACAATATGTTCAGCTGGTTTTAGAGAAACTGCTCGTTTAGTTGTTCTTTTTACCACCATGTAAATAACGTTATTGCTAGCGGAATATTTTAGCACTCAGTGCAGTGTAAACACAAGATCATGCCATATTTATCAACCAGCCTTCAACATAGTTGTCATGCAGAATGTGCTGGCTCTGTTATGAAAGTTGGCTCAGATCACGATTTGTTAGTTGCAGGCCCGATGCCTTCACTCCAATCTGCAACTGACGTTACAAGGCTTGTTGCCTTATTAGCCAAAATGGCTTTCTGGCCTCTCAGGATCGCTAACGCTCGCTAGCTCACAGAGCAGAGTCTTACCAGGCAGAAGAGGTTGGAGTGGCAGTCCTCCAAACTGGCCCCGTTTGGTACAAAGCACGAACTCATCCTTTCACTGCGTAGTTGTAACGTTAAAATCCATGTTCTCAATCATCTTCGGGGGGCAATAGCCGATCTGGGTAACTCGCTTGCGAAGCTATGTTCAGCTCTAATTATCCCGTTAAAGCGCTGCCAACTTGCTAGCGTCAGCTAGCTGACGCTAGCTAAACAGCCAACTTCTAACCGGCGCTAGCCACCACCACTAGCCTGGCAGCTAAGCTAACGTTAGACAGACAGCCAGAACGCGTCAACTGTAAGCTTCTCGCTATACGATTCATCAATCCTATTTGAAATGTATTGTCTGATCTGGTTAGCCGCAAGCCTGCGGCTACATCACCTCAACATTAAATAATCATCGATAACAAATCGAAGAAAGACTAGCGTTAAATACAACACTGGAAAAAGTTAAATGCGCAATAAAAATACGAGCTCAAAAACTTAAAAGAAAAACTTAGATGCTGGTATGCTAATGCTAATGGCAGCTAGCTGCTCTGAAACAATTTCAAAGCGGAGGAACTCGCCCCTCCTCCCCCTGAGCTAGCCTAGCCTGCTAGCACATTCGCTAACATACCAGAGCTCCAGCGTTAGCTCGCCAGCTAAATAAAACAACCCGCTACGCCGCCCTCCTTTTCACCAAAACCACCATGGTGCTCCGTCATATTAAAATTACCCTTAAAACGAATGAAACACCCCAAACTAGCGTGACTACTCATCAGCTACTCTTCTCTGCCTGCTCCATAGGTCCAGCAGATTTCCATTATTTCAGTTCATGTATTGAATTCTTTAATGGCGGCCAGGAGGACAACTCTGCCTCTCAGCTCCTATTGGCCAATTTGCGGTAATGGGGGCGTGATCCGGCTTCAAGTAGCTCCATGACTTCACAGTTTACAAGATGAAAGCTCCAGTGCATCTGTCATGCAGTGGTCACTCCTCAGTGATGCCTGTTAACGTGCATGTTTTACTGTGCATCATCTGCTGCATGGACAGTTATGGTTAAATATTTGGTGAATTATTGTTGGTTGTGGGAACATGTGTGTGTTTGTTTGCATTGTTATGTAAAGGCCCTGATTGTAAAAAAAACAACCAAAAAACAAAACAAAAACAAAACTGAGTTATTCTATTGTCTTCTGGGGCGTTTGCGTTGTGCATTGAATAATAATAATTAGATGACACGAAGTCATCTAGTTATTATTATTTTTATAATTATTACTGAAATTATTTCAAATGCAAATAAAGAACCAACATTTGCATGAAACACAAACACTGATCCGACTACATACATATAGTTGACAAATTAATATGCAAATATGGGGAAAATGAAGAATAAAGAAAAAACACATTCAGTAGTAATAATTTATTTAAGTGCATTTTTGAAATTTACTTTGAAATTAATATAAACAAACTTTTTCATGCATTGCAACACCCTTAAGAAGCAAACTCAGTTTAATCAAATAAAACTCCTTTGTTCTAGATGAATCTGCAAATATGTTACCGCAGTTTACATTTATGTGTGCATTTCAGAACAGCTGTATTGCAGTCTCAAAATAGAAAAGGCATCAATCACGAGTTAAATCTTCATACTTTTTTTTTTAAATCTAACAACAACAAAAACAGACATAAACAGATAAATTCAAGGGAATATTTTAAATAATGAAGAAATCTAGGTCAAACTGTGTAGACAAAGATGGATACGTCACTGATCCCAGCGGTGTTCAATAATGTGAACCTCAGCTGCATTTTTGCATGGACAACTTTTTCTCTACCCCCTCCTCAACGTTATTGCAGCGCTAAGTAAACAGCTTCGCCATCCACCGGGCTGGTTATTTTGGTGCTTTTTATGTCACACGGGCTGTGAACTTGATGCTTTCAGACGCATTGGACGTGCACACCTTCCTGTCATTTCCACAGCAGACCACAAGGCGGAGCCTCCGCACGAGCCTTCACTGGTGAAGCGTCCCTCCCCAGAGTGGGCGGGGCTTAGGATGCGTCGAGAAAATGTCAACAACATGCCGCAGACTTCCAGAGAAACAGAAAGTGAGGAGGGAATGAGGGACAGACAACAAAGAAAGGAAGAAACCCCGGTGTCTCATAACATCGTGACTTTAATATCTCAGTTCGCAGATGATAATTTAACGCTCGTGCGGGTAGGAGTCTCCTTTGTTTGAAAACTGCGATGTACAGACAGCATGGTTACTTCACTGTCAGCCTACATCTGCATTTAATCTTTCACTTGTTGGTAGCCTATATGTTGAAAGGAAGGACTGTGGTCTCATGCAAAAGCCTTCATGGCGCTGACCAGATGTCCTTTCTCTAGTTGTCTCCAGCAAAGTATAGTGCTCATGTGCATTATCAGCGACCAGCACTTTAGCCTGGTTGGTAACATCACTCTCATCCCATTACTATTCTCTTGTCTCCCCCAGAATATAAGCACTGGACTGGCCATTGCTGGTGTAATTGTCATAGCAAGGAGTATCAAACTGGTAAGGGAGAAAGACCCTCAAATGTTCAGTTGCACATTCACCCTGCTGATAGGTGTCCACTGTGTGCTATCTCAATTTGCTCTCTCAATTCGACATCCTACTACATAAGATGTCAGTTTTTCTGTGTTTTTCTAGAATGAGTCATTCAGTTGTCTTGTTCCACCTCTGTAGATCACAAAATTTCAAGCTGCGTGTGACATCCCCGCACGCTTTATTGAGAGGAACGTCAGCCTTCGTGGGAAAGTCCATTCCATCACAGAGAAAGGATTTAAAGTGGAGCATGTTCCAATTTATCTGCCTGTTATCTCTCCATTACTTTCAAAGTATAAGGGTAATACGGGAGAGAGGAGATCATGAAAGCATGTGCACTATCACACCAGAAATACATGGTCTATACGATTCAGAGCCACTAATCTATGGCTTAGCAGCGTAATTATTGAATCTTTTTGCGCCATAATATAATTGTGGTGTTTTTACTTTGCAAAGTCGGATATATTTTATTAAATTGCCATGACTGAAAGTGGCAGGTAAGCCTGTTAGCTACTATATCAGGTCACAGTAGTCACTGAGCAATGAAATCATAAGGTGCAGCATCAGCTACTTCACAAAGGACACAGATAACACGTTTGCCCCACCTGACTCAAGATTTCAAACCTGATCAGTCATTTAGTATAGAGAGGGTTCAATTTGTCTTTGCATCTAACAACAATTTTTTTTTCTTTATTGTTAAATGTAAAATGCAGCATTTCAGTAGTGACACCACTAAACTGTTACATTATGCTCACACTACTAAAAAAAATACAGTTTCAGGCCTTGCTCAAAATTCATATTCTAAACAGAATACATAAAATGTCAGGTAAAGGCTTTGTCTTTCTTCTTTTCAGATGTATCTACATCCCTGCTGCTGGTCCATCTTGCAGGAGTGGAGCTGACACCAGAGGGGAAACTATGGCTGGAGAAGAATGTGGCCCCTTCCCAAATGGTGTGGTTGAAGCTTATCAGCCGAGAGGACGACATATTGTATTGTTTGGTGTCTCAAAGCAGGGTAAGGCAAACTTTATGTGGAAAAGTGAATAATTAATTTCAAGTTATAAAGTGATATTTCCCTGTCTTCTCCCATCTCTCCAGAAGGGGTCAATGAGGAGCTACTGTATGAACGAAGAGGTACTCAGGCTCGGACTGGCTCGCACTGCCCCCGTAGCTGGTGTCCTCCCTGACTCACGCCTCTACTGGCGTCTCCACAGACGACTGCACAGGGCAGAGGTGAAAGCTGAGAGGAAGGGTCGGGGTATGTGGAAGGAGGACACCCTGTGGGAGAGAACTTCCAAAGCTATCAGGGACAACGCTGTATTCAGACTCATGAAGAGGATCTTTAAAAGAACCTGATGCACCAAGTGAGCGATGATTTCCAAGTCAGAATCCCAAAACCTTTGTTGGAAGTGTGGAAGTGGAAGCCAAAAATGTGATATTTTACATTCCCTTTATTGTGCACTTAGGATTTCTTTAAGTCTTTGATCTGCTTTATTTTCTCTGATACTTAAAAACTATTCCCAAGAAGTACATTTATGCATCAAATCCTTAGTGCACCTGTTGCAAATGATTGAAACATGTTTTACTGTTTCTCAGTCATAAAAAACTTAAAATGATTAAAAAGGTTGTTGAAAGCTCTTCTTCCCTGAGCTTTCATTACCAATTAAACTAGAGCTATACACAGCCTCGTCTGTTGGCGTGTGTGTGTGTGTGCGGGGGGAAACCCCACTAAACTCAACACGGGGGTGGGGTATTTAATGGTGTTCAAAATAAAGGGGGGTCCACTTGTCCACAGTTGCTATAGAAACACTAAATGTGAAATACAAAGCGACTCCAAGGCTAAACTCTATATTGGTGGCCCCCAAACCCCATGGGAGCCTTATATATTGAGTGTGTGTGTGTGAGGGGGCTTTTAAGTACCTATAAAGAGGGCCCTTTTAGTTGTAATGTGACCAGTACATTTAAGCACTAAGCACAGTGGAAAATGGGAGATCAAATCTATTCTCTTTCAGAACGCTACATGCTGTTATTGTAGGCATGATTGAAAAATCTCATGAGTGATATTTATCTGCAAACGTTATTCTAATCAGCATACATCGACACCTGCACCAAAGCTAATTTCCTGTTGAGGATCCTGCTCCTGTTATTGCCTTTTCAATGCCAACATTACACCTTGTGCCTGTGGCTGTTACACATGCTTCATCCGAGCATGGCAGATGAGGAGGAGGAGGAGGTCCTGCAAAAATGAGGCCAGTCAGCGATGCGTCGTGAGGGGTGCGGGGCGGGGGAGTCACAGTGTAGCGAGAGGTGAAGCAGTCAATCCAGTGGGGCACAAGGAGATTAGTGCAGAGGAGGAGGAGGAGGGTCACAGGGGTAGAAGGGGATTTTGAGTTTGAACACAAAGGCAGAAGAGGAGGAGTCACAGTAGTAGGGAAAGGGAGTGAAGGCGGGGGGGGGGGGGGGGGGGGGGGGGGGGGGAGTGATGAATCAGATTTCTCTTTTGTTGTGCAAATGTTACTAGCCACTGTTACTGCCTAAGAGGCTGGTGATTGGTGGGCTGGTTTAAATTGTAAGGTGCATTTCAGGCTGATGGCTGTTGCTGCTACACAAACTGTCACTGAGGGAGGAGTGGGAGGGAAACCACGGCTGTGACAGACAGCAGGAGGAGGGCAACGTTTCTAAAGCAAGTGATCACAGAGAGAGTGTGCTGTTTAATCAGGAAGTTTAAATGTTTTAGGTAGCTGTTGGTGTAACTTCTTCTTGTATCTCAATTAAATAATGGCAATTTTATATTTTTGGAGATAGCTGAGCAGTACTGACATATAGTAAATAGTTCAAAATTAGTTTCCAGGTAACCAGGGAGCCTTGATTTAGAGGAGCCTGTTTCTTATACATTACCAGAAACGTTGATGACTGTTACAGTGTCCAGTATACTACAGTTAACATTTTGTGCAGATAAAGAAAAATAGAAACAGATATGTCTTACTGGAGAAAGCATTAGTAAAGACGCCAGCTTACGGAGGCTTATGCCTTTAAAGGTTGAAGTATATAAAAAGCCCATTGTGTCTTTTTAGTTTTAACTTATGTAAATCAAAATCTGAGTAAATTATGAAACACGGTCCACTCCGAAATCCATTCCAGGCTTTCCACAGTTTACTAGTCCCACACCAGTAGTAGTCATTTGAAAAGGCACCATGCTTGATCTAGTGGTGGGTTCTTACCCACACAGTGAAGTTGTTGGAGTCTTCCCTGCCTTAAACCAGACCACTGGGACTATAACAGATTTACACTAGTGCCTAATGCTATGGAAGTCCAGAGCCTGAAGGACTGCTGTATTACTACCAGTGAAAGTGGCCCGATTTTGTGAAGAAGGACAACTTAACTTCAAAATCAGAAACTGGAGTAAAAGACGTAAGTGGGCTGATAGATTCTTTCTTTCTTAAAAAAATACGGCAAGACAGCAACTCATTAACTGTTACTAACTTAAAAGGCTTACTTCCCAACGGTGCACTTTAAGACTAAAACAATCTGCACTCACTCTGCTGTCACTTTAAATGTACTGTTGTTAGGACATTGTATGCAGTATCCAAGCAGCTGTGCACCTGTTAAACCTGTGTGTCTACCTGCACACAAGCTCTATAAAACCAAAACTCAAGACATTTCCATCCTTATCTTTATTGTCCTGCTCCAGGTAAGACAGAGTCAGGCTTAAAACATATCTCGGATCACTTTGACGAAAACAAAGTGAATAGCCTCATGTGATCATTTTTACATTTCAGTCTTGTTCTTTGGCTTGAATGCTGCCGTAGTCAGTAATTAATCAGTGTGACCGATTAAACATTTCTGTGACATTCAATTTTGGCCACTTGCTCTTTGCCATGCGAGCTTTAACAACACAGATTTGCAGCAGGGCAGCATAACAAAGGCCTTTATTACACTCAGCCGGTAGCCATCCCCGAAAAAAAGAGATGGGGCACTCCCCCATCCCAGAGCATACTCCTTGGGGATTTTTGATTTGATTTGAGTGGGTTATTGTGAGTGGCTGGCCTATGTGAAAGGCAAAGGGATTTAAAGACACAGGGAGCACAAAGTAACTCTCCTCACTGGTGCTACTGCCTCATAAACTTTACAGAATGCTGTCAGCTTTTAATACAGGGACTGTCTTTGTGTGCTTACTGGATGAAGTATACGTGGACGGGTGACAAATTAAAGGAAAAATGTTAACCTGTGTAATGAGAGTGTCCGAATGTGGGGAACATTTTAATGGTAAAGTCTGGGTTTCTGTAACCTGCGATAAAACATTTCTATCATCATTGGAGTGGTGTCTTTTATGATGACAATACCGCATCCACAAGAAACAAAGTGTCATTAAAGCTTGACAAAGTTGACACAGTTTGACAAAGTGCTGATGAGAGGTAAAAGGGTGTCACATAGCTTAAATAAGTTCAGCTGCTTTTTTCCCAAGCCATTTAGAAAACAACACAAAGCTAATCAATAAAACACTAAAATAAATAAATAGAAGGTAAGAACACTTTGATCTAATTTTAAGACATATTTCAAAACAGGCAGTGAGGAAGCCGTCCTACCATGGGCAGAGAGGTCATTCAACAATTTTGGTCCATAAGGTTAGACTGAGCTCGCTATGCCCAAGTTGGAAATATCTGTTGAAAAAAAAAGGTAATCCATGTTCCCCAAAGACTTAATATAGCATAGAATGTAGAATGGCAAAGCACAGTGAAACTACACTAGCAACCCGGTATGTTGTTTTTTTTATCTTTAATTTGTCAGCATACTATAAACTGTCATTAGTATATCATTTTTTCATGTGCAGTTCTGTCTTGTTGAGCTTAGTTTTCTATTGAATGAGTCAGCTGTGTTTTTCATCTTCTGTCACAATAAACACGCACTGGCAACAGCTATAACACTTTGCATCTATTCTATCACACACCCACATGCACTGTAAAAGCTGTGTGTGTGTGTGTGTGTGTGTGTGTGTGTGTGTGTGTGTGTGTGTGTGTGTGTGTGTGTGTGTGTGTGTGTGTGTGTGTGTGTGAAGGAATGCATCAGCCGTAAAGTGACTCCTTGTGTTGTGTGAGTTAAAGTATTGTGAACAGTGTATCAGCTTGCTGGTGTTGGGTTGTAGGACTGGAAACATGATTCCTTGTGAGTGCCGGGATCACTCATGATCATGAATAATTTACATTTGTTGGTGGAAAAGAAAGGATGAGGTGATAAAGTGAACAGCTGAGGACTGAACTTTGTTAATTTTGTGAGAATAACTTTCTAACAATTTTCAGTCAACTATGCTGTAAAATGCATAACCGCAACTTGCGCAAAAACACTTGTTCCTCATATCAGTTTCCTCACATTGAAATGAGAAATCATCTGCGACATCTATCTGCTAAAGTAGGACAGTCTGGAAAATGGACTGGCGTTATTATAGCACCTTTCTTCTTAAGTCAAGCACTCAAAGTACTTCCTACTGCAAATCTTATTACACACACACACACACACACACACACACACACACACACACACACACACACAACACACACGCACACACAGGAGCAACTTGGGGTTCAGTATCTTCCCCAAGGATACTTTGACATAGGATGGGAGAAGCCAGAAACCAGAGACTGGCTTTCCAATTGGTAAATGAGTTGCTCTTCCACCTGAGCAACAGTGGCCCTAGTCTGAGTCTAACCTGAGAGTGGGAAGAATCAGGAGGGGGAGTTGAGGGATGGCTTTGCTTGACATAAGCATGACTTCTAACCCTTACCCAACACTCAATTCAATGGTAAAGCATGGAAACCTTACCACACACACAAGTTCTCCACACAGATTTTCACTATTCAATTGAGACTGAGATCATAAAATTTTCGAAGATAACAGTAAATTCTGATATTGGTATTAATATATTCAATATATATATTAAGTGTATAGTAAAAGTATACCATATTTCTTTTTATGATTCTAAAAATACACATTTTTCCAACTATTATTGCGACCATGTGTTTATGCTAATCTAGCCATTCAGTTTCCCCTTGTGGTCTGTGGATGGACACGTTGTCATACTCCCAGAAACATTTTCCATCTGGGTAGACATATTTTAAAAGTGATTATTCAGAACAATTTTGAATTGATTTGCAATAACCTGAACTCTTAGAACAAAATCATTCCCCCTACACCAACACAAGTCCTCTGACTGTAGGAGTGAAGTGCCCAGGCTTTTCTTATAATTTATCACCTGTCTGTGGTTGGACTTATCCTGCTGACCCCTCTGTAACCTCAAGTTCCGCCCCGTATCCTTATCAGGTCAAAGCTCCGTGAAGCAGCTCTGACTGGGCAATTTAGATGTTATAACTTCCTTGTCCTTCCTCGTGATCTGGTTAAAATATCTTACAGTTGTTTAAAGAATGAGTTCACTTGTCAGCCAACTGAACCACACAACTCTATGCACAGACATAAACACCCAAATTAGAAACGTATACTTAAACCTGTTTGAAAAAAACAAACACATTTCTAGTTTGTAATAATGTATTAAACAATACATTACAGTGTACAGTATTCATAAGTGTTCAAATGCCAATTCTTTGACTTTTGTTCCCCATACTTCCAGTGCAGTCTGTAATAACGCATTACTGGATTAGTAGATCACTCAGCCCTTTACTATAAAGCTATCTG